TGTGTGTGTGTGTGTGTGTGTGTGTGTGTGTGTGTGTGTGTGTGTGTTGGAGGGGATGATTAAGACCCAGAATGCATTAGGAGATGCTCAGGGGTGAGAAAAGCCTGGGGCATTCTGAGGGTGGGTTCATAGAACCTTCCAAGCAGCAGATCTGTGTCTGGAGGGTGTGAAAAACCTGAGTTGTTTTTTTTTTTTTTTAAACCTGGAGATGACTTGGGTTTTTAGGGATGAGGGCTGGGAGTTTGGGGACTTAGGATGGAGAAATGGTTGGTTTTCCTTAGGAGTGGGGTAGGGTGGGGTCTCCATCTAGCAGAATGGCGCCAGATATTGGTGTTTTCCTAGATTTTTCTAAAATCACTTAGATCTGAGGGGAAATCCTCTTCAAGCAGGGTGGTCCCAGTTCTAGAATCAAGGTCTGGAGCAGAAGCCTCAGGGAGTGCCTAGGATCTGAACGAAGTAATTGTTTGGAATTTAGGGTACTCCCAGGAGGTGAGGAGGGTTAGGTCTACTGGGACTAGGGCTCTTAGGTACCTCTGGGAGGGCGATTCTGTCCCAGGACGCATTGGGAGAAAGCTCCCCCTCACGAAGGGGGTGGAGGCCCTGGGCACTTGGAGTCGTAGAGGGGATCTTTTAGGATTAGAGTCCCTCTCAGCAGGGTCTCAATGATGGGTCTGGGAGAAGAGAAAGTCTCAGGGAACCACCAAAGGACGCAAAGTCTCAATCTCGGGGACACCCTCCCCGGTGAGGGCCCACTACCTGGATGAACTGGATGGTCAGCGCGCTCTTGCCCACGCCGCCGCCGCCCACGACCACCAGCTTGTGAGTCTCGCCGGGCGGGGGGTCCCTGGGTCCCGGCCCCCCGCCCCGGGGCCGCCCCCGCCCAGTCCCGGACGCCGCCCCGCTGCTCATGTCGCCACCGCTGCTGCTGCCGCCGCTACCGCCTGGGGGGAGTCAAGAGACCAAGGGGTGGGTTATGCTAATGTTATTGCATAAACATGAGCTCCGGCCTGTAGGACGTGAGCCTCCGAATACTTTAGGAGGAGGCGAGGCCAGGAAAAGGGAGGAGCTATACTAATAAGGGTAAGAGAAACAAGGTTGCAAAAAAAGGGGAATTCCGAGAGGGGTGGGGCTATGATAATAAACCTGTGCCCACCGGAGCCTAGCCGCGCGCTCTCTTGGGGCAGTACGCTTTTGGGAGGAGCTATGCTAATAAACCTCATCTTCGGGCAAAAAAAAAAAAAAAAAAAATCGGAACGAGGATATGCAAATGAGGATGCAGTAGTACTCGTCGAAGTACCGCCCGTGGGTATTTCTGGTAGGCGGGGCTTGCCGGCTCCCGCTCAGGGCCGTATATAGGGCCTTCTTAGGAAGGCACGGGTCTCGAAAAAGAATCGCCTCCTCCTTCCTGGGATCAAAGCCAAGCTCTCTGCCCCAGCGTCGGCTGGAGTCTCCGCCAGCCTAGGGACCCAGGCTTCCGGTTCCCGCTGTCCCAGCCAAACGGAAGATAGACTGGGAGGGAAGCTGGGGCCCTGGAGGGGGACAGCAGGGTAAACTGGGCAGGGACGAGCTGTGAGATCACCACATTCCTAATCCATGAGCCAGCTCATCCTAGTCGGGAAGTCCGGGGCCAGAAGGGCCTACAGCCAGGATTTCTGGGGGTTGGAGGATGCAATTGATGGCTCAGACACCTGGTTCCTACCAGTTCATCGCGATGGAAACTTGGATTCATAGGTTCTAGGGAGAACAGGCCCTCGGGAGGGGCTCCTTACTACTAGATTAGGTATTGGGGAAGCTGAGAGTCCGGACTCTGGGGCCAGAGGATGGAGAGAGTCCGGGGAGGGAATCTAGTACTTCTATTTGTGCAAGGTGTGATACCCTGAAAGGCTTGAGTAATGGGTCCAAGGGAAGAGGACTGAGTTTCCTGAGGAGGACAATGAGTATTCACTCTTCTGCTCTGCGGCAGAAGGCTCAGATTTCGGACTTTCGTGTCCTCAGTAAGGATGCTCTGGTTCGATTCCTGGGTTCTAAATTCAGTGGAGATTATTCAAGACTAGCCTGGACAACTAAGAATGAACTTATCTCAAAATAAAAAAGCAAAGGAGGGCTATATATACAGTTCAGTGATAGAGCGTTTGCTAGCATGTATGAGGGTCTAAATTCAGTCTCCAATACCTTAAAATGATTTAATAAACTGAGCATGGTGACTGACGAGTCCCAGCACTGGGGAGACAGAGGAAGGATCACAGCAGAAAGTTCCAGGCCATTCTGAGCTACATAGACACCTTCTCAAAAAATCTCCTTAGGACTTAGAGAGGAAAAAATTTAGAAAGGTCTCTTATTCAGAAAAGGAAGACTGGGAGGGTAGCGTCCAGCTCACTCAATTGAACTACAATTCCCATGGATCTCAGCAACGGTGCGCATTTTTTACATCACTTCCTGATCCGCGCCCTTTTCCCCGCGCACGCAGGGCACTGTGGGGGCCTCACCGCGCGCCCCAGCAGTCCCTCCCACTTCACCTTTCACCCCTACACTGTCCCCCGCGTGACGAAGTTGTCGCGTGGACTACGTCTCCCGGCGTACAGAGCGCGCACTCCGCCTCCATGTGACGCGTTGATTTCTGGGAAACCGAGTCGGCCCCCGTCCAGCTGGCCCTTTAGAAACCCAGCTGGGTACTTGAAATCCCGGCAAGCTTGGCGGCAACTTGGCCCCGCCCCTCCCCAGATCGGATCGCGAGCCCCGCCCCAGTCCGCCCCGCCCCGCGCCGGGGCTGGAGCCGCAGCCCGAGCGGCGGGGTAAGATGGCGGCGGCAGTCCGGGCCGCGGGGCTCGGGCCTAGCGGGGTGGGCGGGGCGGAGTCGGGTCACTAGTCGTCCCCGAGTGTCGCCCGTGCGCCACCGGGCCTGGAGAGCATAGCGTGGCAGCCTCGGACCCGGCAGGGGTGCCTGCGGCAGTCGCTGAGTAGGGGCCCTTCTTAGGGCCCGGGACTCGCCCGGGGGTGCCAGAGGGCGTCCGTAGGGCCTGAACCGCGCCTAGTCCAGCTCTTCATCGCATTGCTGAGCCCGGATATGTCTGCAGGCGCTGTAGATGGTTTTTATGTGCGACTGTAGGCTAGAGTCTGTTGAGAGGCTTTTGAGGCCATCTTGAGATCTTGCTGTGTGTCCCAGGAGTGCAGGGGTCTGCAGAGCCTCCTAGCTAATTGGGTATGTCTGGTAGGGCTGGGAAGTGCCTACTCGTGCTGGCTTCTGCATTCGGCTCATCTACACGGATCTGGGACGATTTATAAGGCCTGGAGGCTCCTTTCAAGGACTAGGAAGTGTTAAGGGCCACCTGGAAGAAAGAGATGTGTTCCCACCCAGGGAGAGGGAAGCAAGCCTGTGATGTGCCCGGAGGCATAAATGGGTTTCCAAGGTCTTGGAAGTTTGATGTGGGGTGACTTGGAGAGAAGGGTGGGGTGGGGCAGTTAGATGGAACTGGAGTCATCCAGTGATTGTAAGAATCCAGTCTGTGTCTTGGAGCAAATTCAGGTGCTTTGGGGACTATAGAAATGTGTAGAAAATAATACAACAGAAAGTGCTGGGCATTTTACCCAGCTCAAATGTACTTGCCCTTCAGAAAGTAATTAAAAAGAAAATGGCTTTAAACAGAAAAGAACCTGTGTTGTCCTAGTGCTGAGGACTTAGAATCAGTCCATGGACCCCTGAAGGTCTGTAGAGCTGTCTTTACTCCTATAGTGCAGTGCTCTGCAACTTGACCTTGATAGGAAGGAGAGAATACATTGTTGGATGAGATTCAGCACATGCCAACATATGCATTTTCTAATATTACTCCAGTCCTGTAAACAGATGTTTCCATTTGAATCTTTGGAAGTATTTTTTGTTATGTTTTATGTATTTTGTGTAATGAGCTTTCTGGGAATCACTAAATTGCTCTCAGAGCCTTATAATTGAGGGCTCACCGATCTGGAATGGTCTGCAGAGCCTTATAATGTCTGTGGTTTGGGGATCTTCAAGTCTGCAGCCAGGAGCTCTTGATTTAGTTTCCTCTGTGTGACAGGCACTGCTCAGGATGGCATGTGTATCTCAGACAGCAGGAGAGAGCAGTCCCAGAGCTGGGAACTATTGATACACAGGTATTAGCTTAGAGAAGCTTGGGCATGGTAGAGGTGCTGTCAGAGTAGGGTATGTCTGGGAATCAGGGAAGAAGCTGAAGATTTGAAGAGGTGGGTCTAGGAGGCTGGCTGAATGTAGAGGCCAGGGTCCAGTTTCACAGGTCTTGGGTCTTTGTGGATGCCCGGCCTGGGAAGCAGGCTGAGAGAAAAGGGGGAAAGCTGGTCTAAGGTCTAAAGATACAATGATTGCTAATGTGTATCCAGCTGCTTGTGTGTGCAAATGAGTGTGAGGCTACTATTTTGCCATTTTCAGATAAACACAGGTGTGGTTTAAGGAGCCTAGGGCTTCTAGGAATTCTAAGATTGGTTGTTTTCAGAGTAGCAGGTTTGACAGCTGTGGGAAGGTTTACAGCTGTGATGTTCATGTTTTCTGAAGCCTCAGTCAAGACATCTACCAGTCTGAGGGATGCTCTTTCAGCTACCTGACTGGGTGCTCAAAGCTCAGAATTCCTGTGACATCACGGAGGCTTTGGCCATGCTTCCAAAGGACAGGCAGTTGGGTGATAGGCAAGTGCCCCGATGGGGCTGGGAGAACAACATGCCTTTCTGAAATTTGGCATTTTTGTTTTAAAAGCTGTATGGTGGTTGTGTAGATATCGTAGTTCTATCTCATGGTTATAAATAAGGTTCTTTGGTCCCTCACCATGGAGGAAGGCAGATGCCGTGTGAAGCGGTGGACCCCCTGACAGAGCGCCACCAAGCATGCTGGCGCACTCCTCCCTGTGAGGAAGGTGGGTTTCTGAGACTGAAGGACACTTTTAAGATCAGGAGACCCAGAGTAGGGTTGATTTGTTTGTTTGTTTGTTTGTTTATTGCATCTATGTGACTGGGTTGGGGAATTGGAGGTTTGACTAGGAGCTTTGGGAAGCTGTGGGCAGCGGAGGGCCAGATGTTGGAGCAGGTGGCTGAGGAGTTATTCCATTGATGGGAGGCAGCCAAAATCCAGAAGAAGGACAAGGATGGCTCTAGTCCCTGCAGGTCAGCATGGAACCAAGTACAAGGTCATCACGAATGAGTTGGAAGAGGGACTCTAAAGGACGATGCAGTGGAGGCAGCAGTGGAGGCCGTTCACCTCTGCTCCTGCCTGGCTCAGCCTTCACTCCAAACTGTCGCCCTCTACCCCAGGTGACCATGGAGGAGGAAGATGAGTCTCGAGGTAAAACAGAAGAGTCAGGAGAGGATCGGGGAGACAGTCCACCTGACAGAGATTCCTCCCTTTCTCCTTCTGCCTTCATCCTGGTAAGACAGCTGCAGACAGTGGGGGCTGGGGGCCTAGCTTCCTAGAAGTAGGGCCTAAGGGTCCAGGACCTGGCCCTCAAGAAGGGCTGGGGCCCTGTGGGGTGCCTGGAATATGCCTTCTAAACAGCAGAGGTTACAGAGATCTTGACCCTGAATTTTCATTTTTTTCCCTTTCCCAGCGGGCCATTCAGCAGGCTGTGGGAAGCTCCCTTCAGGGGGACCGGCCTAATGAGAAAGGTAGGCCTTTTAGGCCTTTGTCCCTCCTCTGGGTTGTGTTTCTTCATTTTTCTGAGGCTTCCTGATGCTCCCTTTGTGCTAGGGTCAGGAGTGTGCAGGGGACTGGGTTTGTCTGGAGGCAGGACTGGTTGGCTGGGACCAGCAGCTGTGCATCATAGGGGCGTGGTGTCCTAGGACCCAGTGTGGCTTTAGGGCTGGCTGCAGGTTGTAAGCAGGGTAGTAGGACACTTTTGGGAAGCAGAAGATGTGTAGACCCAAGGCTAGGCAGGGCTCAAAGGCCACGCTGAGACATGCCCT